TCCATCATTGCAGAGGGAGAATGTAGCATATCAAATATGTTGGGAACATGGGTTTTATAGCCAGAGTGGCAGAACTCTGGTCTGGACTTTTTGTCACTAGTCTGTAATTTCCTTGTGGGCTAAAAAGTGTGAGGAGATATTCTCTGCCATGGATCAGTGGTCCAATGCCAGCACACACTGATGACCACCAGCAGGTGCTACCCAGGTGTTCCCATGCTGAAGACCCCACACACAATCCAGCCTGCTGTGGGTCTGTGCTGGGGCTTTGTGCTTCATTCAGCCAGTACACACTGGGGTCCTGATTCTGCTTAGGAACCCTCCTGGTCCTTCACCCCTGCTGGTCGCATCCAGGAATCAGGAATATGTCCTCCAACCACAGCTCTCCCTCTGGTTTTCTTCAAGCCTCATCTACCCTCAACTAAAGAACTAACACACTACAGGTCAAATGTTGCATCTTAAATGAAACTCCAGACTCCACAGGCTCTGGACTTAGTGCCAGCACTCCATCCTGTGAAATCTAAAGACTCCAAGCTCCACCATCTTCTGGGACTGAAGAGTTGCAAAGGAGGTTCCTGAATGTCTGAGCTTCGAACAGCTCAAACGTTGAATCAGAGAATATTTTCCAGTCAATTAGACCAGACTCTAGAATTCTGGTGTCTGGAGGAGTTGAACCCAGTGGGATCTAAACCATTGTTTCACAGCTGAGAAAGCTCCCAGGAAAAGCCTGAATTTGTTCAAAGTCATTCAAGCTCTTTGTAATGATTAAAAGGAAGAGATAACCCACTGGGTCTTCTGCCACCTAGTCTAGTACTTGCTCTGTGGATCCCTTTTCTCTGCTATGACTATTTATTTTGACAGATCCAAAGCCATGCCTTCCAACATGACTGCCCGCACTTCCATGCAGTCCTTGGGCCTGTGGAGTCTCCTTCTCTCTCCATCTCCCTCCCTCTCTCCCTTTTTGTCACTTCCCATCTTTCTCCCTTCCATCTCCCTCTCTTCCTGCCTCCTTTCTTCTAGGGCTTGGTTGACATGAGGAGGTACACCAAAGTAAAAGATTGAACTCAGTGACTACCGGGTAGGGCCCATCTGGGCCATCCACCAGCTTACATCTTTTTAGGGAGCAGTGGTAAAATACACCCTTTTAGTCTAAAGGATAAAGCACCCAATTGAATGAAAGAGAAATTTGCTGAAGGGAAAACAGGAGGTTATTTGAGAAGGAAGCTGTGTCTAGGGATTTAAGCAGAGCTGACTCCTTCCCCACCCCTCTCCTTCCCCTCCCTCTCCACACCCCCTCCTTTACTTCCCTCTCCACACTCCTCTCCTTTCCTTCCCTCCCCACACTCCTCCTTTTCTTCTCTCCCACTCCCCTCCTTTCCTTCCTCTGCTTCTAAAGTTCTAGCAAAAAATGCCACAGCCACCAGGACCCCAGAGACCTGACTGAACATGTGAAAGCAGAAGGTGATGTGGGGTAATAGGTCTGAAAGCTGGATTTTCATGCCACAGGACAGTATTTCACTGCCCCAAGGGGAGAGAAGGGATCCTTAAAATACCATGGAGCATATTATAATATTTTAACAGGGTTTATGTGCTCCCTATGCACACTAACCCTGGAAGATGGATTGTGCATTTTGACAAATCTATATTTAACATGGGTGGATAATATACAATGCAAGCTCCCTGGTAGAAAAATCCATACTTATGGAAAACCTGAGTCTAGTAATTACAACAGACACTTAAAGACAGTGCTTATTGTGGGCTGTGCACAGAAAGTGAGTCTCATTAGGCAGAAAGAGAAAATAGTTTGAGTGGAGGAGGCTAAGAAGCCACCTCAGAAAGAAGCAACAGAGAAGGAGGTCCAGGAAACCAGCGCCTTCCACCATCTATTCCAGGTCACGTGAACTTCCCCTCAAGCATCCAGCATACATTCCTTTCTCAAATATTTATTCAGCACCTATGGTGTTCCAAGCACTCTTCTGGCTCTGGGACACACACAATTATTACATCAGATACATGGCATGGAACAAAATCACTACAGGCATACACAGCAGCCAAGGCTGTTGTTTTAGAAACAGAGACTAAGGATGGGAATGGAGGCTAGTGAAGTGAAGTGATAGTCAGGAGGGGAGGGATGAAGTCCGCTTGGGGATGTGAGACAAGCTGAGAGAGGACTGCAGAGGATTGCTCTTTGCTGAGAGGAGAGAACCAGTACTGCAGGCTAGAAAGGGACAGAGAGAACAGTGTGCCTGAGACAAAACCACTGGACTCAAGCTGCAGAATGACAGCCAGGATGACCAATCAGGGAGTGAGGAGAGTGAGCAAGGCAGGAAAGGTCACCAGGGCAGTTTTTCAGATTCTGTGTCCTGGTCAGACATCCAGTAATTTTTCCCATGTACAATGGGAATCTCAGAACCACAAGGAAGTGAAATAATATATTTTGTTTCATTTTGGTTTGTTTAATTGATAAACTTCCTTTAGCTTCAGTGAGAGAATGGATCCCACTGCTAAAAAAACAAACGCCATGCTGCTTCTTATCTAACCTAGATTTAAAACTGTATGTGAATGTATGTGTGTATTTAGCTGTGTTCTTGTGTGCACATGTATGATGTATGTGTGTAGTGTGTACACATGTGCACATGATAGCAGAAGGGAGACCATGCAGGGAAGGAAGGAACCTAATGAGAAGGGAGAGGGCAATAGGAAGGAGAAAGGCTGTTATATCATGCTTTATCTTTCAAAGAATCTAGATTCAAAATGTGTGCACAGGGCTGTTTAGTAAGAGCAAGGAGAGCAGTGGGAAGAGCAGGAGAGGCCAATGGGGGGGGGCAGGTACATATAAACAAAGTATAAGAATACACACATCCGAAAATGGCATTGTAATAAAGCCTGTTCTTTTCTACACTAAAATATAAAATTTCTAAGAGTAGTCATAGAATATCCAGAAAGCTCCAAACATTTCCTAAGAATCATACAGCATGTTAATAATGAGTATTAATTTGAAATACCAAAAGCATAAAGTTCAAGCCATGATTATCACTGTCATCTCTCAGGACAACCAGGTGGGTTAGAGTAGGTATCCGATGATGTTTCAAACTAGATGAAGATCTGTTGGTTAGTGGGCAAGTCACCCTGAGGGAGACTTAAAGTGAGAGTCTGGGGATGGGAGGAAGCATGGGAAGAGTTGGAGTGTGGGTGTCAGGGATGAAGATGACTGATACATAATGTATTCGTGTGTGAAATTCTCAAAGAATAAATTAAAACATTAACAATAATAATAATTCTCGGGGAATATTTTTTTTGAGGACTCAACATGTTAATATGCAATGAGGGTCTCTTCTCGTGATGAAGTAAGGGATGTCCCCTAGCTGAGGCAAAGACTGTGAACTCCCCATCCTGTATCAGAGAGAAAACTAAGTTTACAGACTGACTGATGGGCAGCTGGATCCCACCCCCTTGGCCTTGTTCCCATCACACCCTCATCTAAGCAGCATTGCCAACTGCTGGGATCCTATGGGAATGGATCCTATGGGAATGGATCCTATGGGGCTGTTTACATGGCTAAGCTGTTGCTGTGGCTGAGACTCTGGAAGGTCTGGAACTCTCCTAGCAAGATGTATGAATTCAACATGAACATCAGCAGGAGACACACACCGAGAGGAAGGGCAAGGTGGAGAAAATCAACACTTGTTTTCCTAAACCCGTGCCAGCAGCAATCATAGGCTGTGCCCTTCCTATGGCTGTGTTTTTTCTTTTCTTTTCTTTTCTTTTCATTTCTTTTCTTTTAAGCTTTGCCTTAAAGTCATGGGTAAAGAAATTAAAGGTGGCCAAAACAGCATATCACCCCACCTTGGATTTGATCTGGAACATATATATATATATATATATATATATATATATATATATATATATATCAAGAGTATGTCCATTAACTGTGTGGGTGCGTATGTTCCTAAGCATGCACACATGGAAGTCTGAAGACAACCTCAGATGTTCACCCTTTCTTTCTATCTTGCTTGAGACAGGTTTGCTCTGTTGTTTGCCAGTGTACGCAGACTACCTGGACCAAAAACATTCTAGACACTCTCCTATCTCCACCTCCCATTTAACCATAAAGTCAGTAAGGTTACAGGTACACATACTACTGTGCCCAGCTTTCCATAGCCTACAGATTCAAACTCATGCCTTCCTTTACACTTGCATGGTCAGCATTTTACTCACCAAGCCATTTCCCCAGCACAAATATGAATGTTCACTTTAAATCCTTGGTTTAAGCTTAACCTCTAAAAAGTGGCCCTGTCTTTCTTTTCTTAAAATGGTCATTAGAGTGACAAGAAGAGTTAATTAAATGAAAGTGCTTTGCTGTATGGCTACTATAATCAATAATCCCAGTACCACTGATCTATGACAGGCATCTGATAAACATTGGCTGTAGACAGATGGATGGGGGTTTGCACAAAGGAAAGTGTGAATAGAATGGGAAGATGGGACGATCAATGGACTGGTGAACAGATTGGCATTTGAAGGCCTGGGCGGATGGCTGATTGGTAGGGAGTATGGCTAGACAGCAGATGGTAAGTGATAGTGGGTAAAACAGATTATTTGATCCATCTGGCCATTTGCTTACAGCATCTTCTATTCATTAATTGGGGAGGATGCATGTATATACATATGTCTATACAGGTATGTGAACCTATGTACACATGTTCAGGGGCTAAGGAAGGATATTGGGTGTAATCCTCTGTTACTCTCTACCTTATTCCCTTCATACAAAGGCCTCTCACTGAACCTAGAGATTTCTAATTTTGGCTGGGCTGGTGGCCAGTGAGACCCATGGATTTTCATGTCTCTAACCCTCTGTGTTGGGGTTTCAGGCATATGTAATTGTGCCTGGCTGTTTCCACTGTTTCTGGGATCTGAACTCAGATCTTCATGCTGGGCAGCAAGTGCTCTTACCCAGTGAGAGACTCCCCAGCCACCACTAACTTTCTTACCTTTTTTTCTAGTCTGTTCCCAGTTCTCCAAAGGAGTCTATGCCATCTTTGGGTTTTATGAACGAAGGACTGTCAACATGCTGACCTCCTTCTGTGGGGCCCTCCATGTGTGCTTCATCACTCCAAGCTTTCCCGTTGACACATCCAATCAGTTCGTCCTTCAGCTGCGCCCGGAACTACAGGAAGCTCTCATTAGCATCATTGACCATTACAAGTGGCAGACCTTTGTCTACATTTATGATGCTGACCGGGGTAAGCTCGGGGTTAAGGAAAAGAGGTTGTTGAGGGATGGAGAAAAATCATTAGGAAGAAGAATGATGGCTCTCTGTATCTTTAAAGTACTTGGGGAAGCAAGCCAGGTGCTTTATCTATGTGTGGTGATCTCTTGGTGGCCAATATTTAACTCAGAGTCTGAAAATATATCATCTGAGAGAGATATCCTCCAGTCCATCAAGCCATTCTACCACCATTCACCAAACTCTCATTATCTCTGAAGTCTTCAGCAAAGTGGACCACAGTTCACAGTAATGTTAATGGAGCATAAAACAGACCAGGATCTGAATCCTACGTTCTATCCTCACTAGCCCTGTGGCTTTGGGCAGGTTCTTGATGCATCAGTTCCACCACTTGTATAGTGAGTCAAATTCTCCATGCCTTCATTCCCCTGTGTCTGGGATGAAGACGAATTGTCCCTACCTCAAGAATGTATCATGAAGAATTAATGAGATAATGGCTGAAACGTGTTTGTTCATTGCCTACAGTGTAGTGACTATTATCCCCAATATGTGTTACCTGTTGCCAGCACTATCATCTTTACCATCAACAGCAGCAGCACCATCACTGTCACCTCTGCCACCATCTTCATCTCTATCACCACTACCACCATGATCATGAACATCCCCATCATCATCACTTCCACTATCCCAGCATCCTACCATCATCACTGTCAATCATCAACATAACAGCCACCATTGTCATCAATATCAAGGTCATCATCATCATCACTACCATCATCATCATTGTCACCACCATCATCTTCATCTTCATTACCACTATCACATCATAATCACTATCATCACTACAACACTGTCATCTTCACCACAGCCACAGTTACTATCAATGTTATCACAATCATCTTCATTGCGACCACCACCATCATTGTAACTATTATTAACATCATAATATGAATGATCATCATTGCGGTCATTATCACCATTATCTTGACCATCATCACACCATCACCACTCACCACCAGCATCATCACCATCATCATGTGATATCAACACCCTCTCTACAATCATCATCACTATAATCTATCATTACTATCATCACCATCGTCATCATTCCCCTAGTGTTTTCTTTTTAATCCTGTTCCCTTTGAATTTTGCAATCACATTTCCCAGTTGTTTCCCATACTTTTTACTCTCTGTGGCTTCTTTATCCTGAGGTGCATTTATTTATCACATCTCTCCATATGGTACTCAGTTTCTTCTGTATTACATCCCATTTTCTCTGTTCACTCATCCCCTAAATAGAAACTCTTCTTCCTGGCCCCTATAGAGTATGCTTGCCTTGTCCTACCTTCTTCTTATGCATGGTCTAGTCCTAGAAGAACACTGTCATTGCTAGTGTAAAAAGATAAATGGACTGGGACTTGAAAGCCTAGACCTTGAGATAGGGGAGCAACTCCCTGGCAGAGTTTGCCTCAGAGAAACTTAAAGACTTTGGATAGGAGGGTGGCTGATTAAGATGGTTTTATAGGCAGAGGGGACAGTGCTATTCAGAAAGGAAGGTGACCAAAAGGAGAGAGCAAAAGCATCTATTTCTCTCTATTTTCTTTGCTCTCTTCTTGTCTCTTCCTAATTTGATGATTTCCCTTCTCTAACAGCATCCACTCTATGGGTCATCTGCCAATGGTCCTCTTTAGAACTATCTTGTTTCATAATAAAGGTGTAAGTCAGAAGTAGCAACTCCAGAAAAATGTAATGTACACCTAGAAGATATTTCTTAGGTTAACAGAAGAACCCACACTCTGCAAAGGACTGTGTCCGCCTCAAAACCCAGAACCGTGACCTCTGTTATCTTCTGGTTATGTCATCATGGACTAGTAAGTTTTGGTGTTCACATCTTCAAAATAGGGACCAGAATAAGACTGACCCCCTAGAACCCAGTGAACTAAAAGAAGAACACCATAAAAATAGCGCCAAACACACAGTGATGATTTGGCAAATGTGGAGATCACTCAAACAAAACAACTTTTCCAGGAAATGAAACAAATCAGAAGGAAATCAGTACAGAGATGTTTCCTGGGGCCTGATGCTGTATTGGTCACTATAGGGAAAAATAATGGTGTTACTAGGAGTTAGACATTGAATGCATAAAAATAATAATTTGTAATGTGACAGCAAAATATCTGTGTATGACAGGCACAATAACAACATACTTTCACCACTCCCAAGTCCCTTCCCTTGTCTCTGGAGCTGGAAAATGTGTGAATGCTATTGCCAAAAGGGAGCTAAGGTTGCAGATGCAATGAAGGCTGCTCATTAACTGACCTTGGAGAACAAAGATTGTTCTCCGGACATGCACCGGACATGGTGCAATCTCAAAGGTCTTTACCTGTGACAGTGGGAGCCAGAATACTCAGTGTCAGATTAAATAAGGAAGCCTGGGACACCATTGCCAGCTTTGGAGATGAAAGGGACCATAAGCTAAAGGGTATGGAGCAGTCAAATGTAAGCTAGAGAGACACGAGAATGGATTCTCTCCCAGATCGCTAAGAGAATGACCATCTCTGCCAACAACATAGCCTTGGCTCCCTGGAGTGTGAACTGTCCATTTTCGCTGAGACATGACACTAAGTTTGTGGTCCTTCACTGCACAAAAGCAAACAAGTGCATTGTGTAATCTGAGAGAAGAAGGCAGGCTTCTCCACAGTCAGCCTTCATCAGAAGGTAGTGGTGAAATACAGAACACATTTATTGAACATCTACTGTGTGACAGAATATTAGCTCATAGAGCCATAACCAAATTTCACAGATTCGACTCATACTTATTAGTTATCTTTAGATACCAGGTTGGCCTGTTCTATGAACAATTACTTAATTTCCCTGCATTGGTTGCATTCATGATGCTGTGAGGAAATGCCTGGAGAAAGGCATCTTAAGGATGAAAAGGCTTTTTTTGGTTCACATTTCCAGAGGGACAAATAGTCAGTGAATCTTGGTGGGGAAGGCATGGCAGCAGGAATGGGAAGCTGGCCTTGATCGCACTGCATTTGTGCACAGGAAGCAGAGAGAGAAGAGAAAATGGGACAACGCTGTAAAACCTGAATGCCCACCCACCCGTGGGCATACTTCCTCTACTAAGATTCTACCTTCCTAAGGTTCCATAACCTTGACAAACAGCCCCGCTAACTGGGGACCTAGTAAGTGTTCATATACATGAGCCTATCTGGGATCTTCTCATCCAAAGCACCTCTGCCCCCAAATAATAACCATTATCATTTAGAAAACACTTAAGGTATCAGCAGCCCACACCCGACATGCCTGTCTCATCTTCATCAGCACTGTGAGGCAGGCGCTACCTATGCTGACACTTTATCTTTGAAGAAACCAAAGTTCCCTCTTCACCTTCAAAGAAATTAAGTTTCAGACAGTCAAGCGACCTGATCGAAGTAATTTTGCTGATATTTTACATCTGAGCCTTTTGTGGGGTTTTTAGTCAAAAGACTTTCTTATTGTCTGTCATGCCCTGTAAACAGAAAACCAACAAGGACCAGGTGCTTGCCTCTGTGGCATTCAGACACACAGAGAGCAGGAACTAAGCTTGCTACGGGAATAGGGTGGGGGACAGTGGTGACCACCCAGGGAAGTATTGCAGGCAGCAGTGAGCGCTCAGAGAGTGGGTGTAGAGAGCATCATGATTCCCACAGAAGTGGATGCAGACAGAGCGCTAAATGTACCTGGTGGAAGTAGAGGTGGGCTGCAGGCAGGAGTGGATGTCACCTGTGAATGCTGACGTTGCCATGTCTCTGTCTGCCCCTCCGCTGCAGGCCTGTCAGTCCTGCAGAGAGTCTTGGATACAGCTGCAGAGAAGAACTGGCAGGTGACGGCTGTCAACATTCTGACGACCACAGAAGAAGGGTACCGGATGCTCTTCCAGGACCTGGAGAAGAAAAAGGAGAGGCTTGTGGTTGTGGACTGTGAATCAGAGCGCCTCAATGCCATCCTGGGCCAGGTACTAAAGGCAGCACAGGGCACAAAGCAGACATCAGAGGTAGTTCAGAGGAAATGAGTGCATGTCTGCTGTGGGTGCTGGGAGAGGGGGTCTAAAGAGGGCTCTTGAGGAGGTGAGACTTGACACTTTCCATTTTACATTCTGCGAGTCCTAAAAGTTCTATCTGAGACTTGATGAGGCACTTCAAGTGGTCCTCACACTGACTGGCCAAAAATTTCTCTCTTGGCCTCCTTTTTACTCTTAAAATTAAATCGCATTGTCTCTTAGAGCTTATAGAGTCCAGGCTGCAGACAGATGCCTGTGTTCAGCCCCACGCTGTGTCACCCACAGAACCAGCATTGGGCATCACATGGCCTTGGCCCAGCTGACCTGTTTTAGGGGCCACCTACCTTTCCACTCCTTCCTTGAAGGGTTCTTGCCTCTGAGAGCAGGAAGGGTGACGTATCTATCCTATGTCTAGGTTCTGTAACCTCAACAGCCTGAAGCCTCTAAACTCGATTTGCTCTTGTGTCGGGATTAGAGAAAGTTTGGCAGCCTCTGTGTAGATCACTGTCTTTTTGAGCTGTATTTGTGTATTCGGATGAACTAGCAAGGAGGAGGCTTGCGGTCATGTTTGAATAGTGCCATCTAATGAGAGATGGGCTTTTAAGGTACTTGACAACACAACAAGTCTGGTTAATGGCCCTCGAGACCCTGGACCCCCCAACAGGGAGCCTCATCACCAAATTGGCAATCACTGTTAAGCCTCCAGAGTAGAGCAGGGAGGACTTGGGAAGCCACCGATTAACTATGTGTGTTCTGCGGCATCAAGTGTGGATCTAGGGTTTGCTCTCCAAGAGAAACCAGCATAAAACTACAGAACTGTTTCTATAGTGATAGAAGTCCTCTGGGCTGTGGTTAGGCTACTGAGTGCTAGCATCCAGGGTGAGAGTGGGGGCAGCGTAAGGTAATGGGTAAAGGCAAAGATTCTGGAAGCAAACAAACAGGGATTCAGCTTCCAGATTGAGTGCTTCCTGACCTTGGACCAGGCTGGTAATCTGTTTCCATCTCACATCCCTGCCCCCCATTCTGTAAAGCAGAAGTAACAACTTCCTCTTGGAGGCTTTCCTAAGGACTAGAAGGACCAAGGCATAGAACATACTTAGAAAGGAGTGTGCCCATAGGACGTGATGTGTGGAAATGCTGCCCATTGCTGCTTTTCATAGTACCAGCTGCACTGGCTTAATGAGTCATTTCCCTCTCTAACCATACATATCTGCAAGATAAGAATAAAGGGCCCTGCTCTACAAACCCAGGATGGGATGGGGCAGTGATGAGCTGAGATGGGAAACAGATGGAATGAATGGTTTCCTTACCAGAATGGTGGCTTGTCCTGGATTGTGTCATGCCCCTGTCTTGGCCTCACAGCCAAGGAGGGGAGGCACTGCATTCAGCTCTTTCTGTGTATAATGTCCGTTTTTACACATTGTAGATCAAAGAACTCCTACCCATTTCCCTGTTACAGATGAAGAAGTTTTGTTTTGTTTTTTACCAAAGGACTCACAACTAACATAAAAGGAAGTCAGGGAGTTAAACAAAGCTAGATTTGCAAACATGGCCCAGTGTCTTAAAAACACAACTTTCCTCATGGCTAGAGTAATGGCTCAGAGGTTAAGAGCACTTGCTGAGGATCGGGGTTTGGTTTCCAGGCCCCAATTGGTGGTTATAATCATCTGTATTTCAGTCCAGGAGATCCAGCTCCCTTTCTGGCCTCCATAGGTACCAAGCACACATGTGATGCATAGACATACATGCAGGCAAAACACACATGCACATAACTTTTAAAATAAAACTTTCTGAAGTTAAGGATATGCCTCAATTAGTAGTGCTTGCTGCACAAACATGAGGACCTGAGTTCAAACTCCAGCACATACTTACAAAGCTGAATGGGGTGACACATGCCTTTAACCCCAGCACTGGGGAGCTAGAGATGGTTGGTTGATCCCAGGGGCTCACTGATCTGTGAGCCTAGATCAACTGGGGAGTACCCTAGGTCACAGATTTCTAAAACTAATATGGAATGCTGCTGAGGAATGACCAAAAGTCGATCTCTGTTTATAACACAAATGCATGTGCACACACACACTCACACACACACACACAAACATGAATACACATACTCATACACAAACATGTGAACATGCATACACACACTCACACATATACAAACATATGTGAACATGCATATATACACAGACCACATACACACATGCATATACACACATGTACACATACACACAAAGGTAACATGCACAACATAGATTATACTTTTCTTAACTGTACATCTATGGCTACTTTCTCTGTCAAGAACAAACTTTTCTTTCACAAGGAAGTGACTCATGTGATGAGCTTTTACACTGTTGTTTACAAACATCTTAAATTATTTCATTCTAAAATTCTGAAAACAGATACCAAAGTTTTGAAAGGATCCATGAGGCCACTTGATTGATAGCTTGTGCCACATTTTACAGCTGAAGATAAGGGAAACTATCGTGTATAGGAGACATAGTAGAGGAGCATCAGAAATCACAAAAGAGTGACAGGGTGGCTTAAAAGTGAGGAGATACAGAAGAGCAACTGAACAAACAGGGGTGAATGGCACACAGCTCTGCCTGCCTGCTGCTCTCCAACATGGGCAGAAGCAGAGAACTTAATCTCAAAGATGACAAGAAACCAATGTACCCGCAGTTCTACCTCTAGGACAAAACCACAGTGTTCTGAAGCCTCCAATTGTTTTGGGGTTCTGGTAAAGCCCACTGTTCCACACCAAGGGCCAGCAGAAAGAGGGGGCCCAACTTTCTACTCCTCGAGTCTCATGGGCCGTGACTGGTGCCATCTGGAGTGGAAACCTATCATTTAGGACTAAGTTACCCTTCAACCCTGATTATGAAGGACAGCTACAAGTCAGGGAGCCCAGAACACTCGGCCACATCCCTAGTATGGAAGACAACTGTGAGTGAAAAGAAGGCCTAATCTCAACATGCCAAGAATTTCAGGCAGGAAAGGGTAGTGTGGGGGAAGCCCTGCCCTTGGTGGCCAGAAAGATGAGCTCATCCCCTGAGGATAATGGCAGAGATGGTAGCCCTGTGTTTGAGGCAAGACCTCTATCTAGACCCATCTTTCTGCTGCAATGCTCACTGAGGGCTCCGAAGTTCAAAGGTGTAATTAACCTTTGCAGCTTCATCCCACCAGCAGCATGCCTAATGCTGACTTGCCTTTGAAGTGCTAGAGACTGACCTGCTGTGTGGATCTCATCAATGTGTTTGTATGTCCTTGCCAGCACACTTGGGAGACACCCCTGGCTAAAAAACAGCCACTTTTGGGTGTACTAAATGGGATATCATCAGCCTTGGAGAAGCAGCCTGATCCATAGATGTAGTGTATATAAAGGAGTCAAAGGAAGAAAGACACCATCAAATACAAGAGCACAGGAAAGAACAATTTCACAAGAGAACCAGATAAACTACCAAGCATCTGAATAGGGCCAGATAAAAACCATCAATGATTGAATGAACCATGAAAGCAACTATAAACATTATAGAAATCAACAACCCCTCTCCATAATAACCCTAAATGCAAATAATTATAAGCCTCCAATTGAATAAAGACTGGCTGGTCTGATTTAAAAATAATGTTCAATGAAGTATTGTCTATAAGAAACACACTAGCAAAAGGCACAGACTGAAAGTGATGGGAAGTCTGCATACTAAGAAAATGGAAGCCCTAATCAAGTGGAGGACTGTACTTACATATGATAATGCAAAGCTAAAATTAGACAGAGAAAATAAAGGTCACTGCTAAATGGAACCACCCATCAAGAACATATGCTCCAAACGTTGTTGCATACCAAGTCATAGAAGAACCACAGTGGTCAGACACAGACTGATGGAAACAGATAGAATAAAGCTGAGTGGCTTCATATCCTATGAATAAGGAGATAATTTAGTTAAAGAGAATAACAAAAAAAAATAAATTTCCAACATACATTATGCCATAGAACAAAGAAAGTTAGATATCTGCACAGCATTCCACCCAACAGCTGCCCAACAACTTCTCAGCAGCCCATGTAACAGTCACTAAAATCTATGGCATTTTGGGCAAGAAAATAAGATTTGACAAATATAATCAAAATAATTCATGTATATTATCATAGCATAGTGGAATAAAACTAGATATCAAGAGAAAAAGGAATGACATAAACTATACAAGAAGCCATAGGTTGTAGAATACTACCTATTTTTTAAGGAAATTTGTTATTTGTTAAGGAAAGCCAGAGGGAAATGTTTTCTAATCCCTAGAATCAAATGAAAATAAAACAAAATTTATCAGAACCTTTTGTTTACATAAAAACTAAAACTCAAGTTGCAAATTAATAACTTGATACACTTCGAAGGTTTAGAAAAGCAAAAATATAGAACTGCAAAATCAGTAGACAAATTGATTAAATGAAGACTACAATAACAATTTAAAAAAGAGAAAAGAAACAAAAATTTGGCTTTTAAAAAAGAAAACAAAATGAACAAGACTTTCCATCAACTAGCCAAGAGAAAGTAACAATGGAGATGAAAAGGGGACATCACAATGGATACCAATGAAATCCAGGGTATTTATGTCCCGAACATATAGAAAATCTGGAAGAAATAGATGGATTCCTAGAAGAGTATGACTTACCCAAATTAAATCAAGATGGTAAAAACAACTTCCTTAGATCTGTATTAAGCGATGAAAATAGAACAGCAGTAATGAGTCACCCAACAAAGAAAAGCCCAAGACTAGGAGAAATCACTGCCAAGTTCTATCAGATCTTTAAAGAAAAGCTCCTGAGACTATTCCACAGGCTAGAAAGGGAAGGAACATTACCAAAGGCATTTTGTAAAACCAGTATTACTCTGTCACCATAGCCAGATAAGGATGTACAGAGACAGGAGGTAGGGAGGGGTGAGACAGAGCAGGAAGGAAGG